TATCTACAGCTAGAAGAGATCTACTTAGGAAAGAAAATGAAATGGATACAAAATAGAGAGACCTGGGTGTCTTTAAAGGAAATAGCCGTCAGGGCCCTGGAAAACAAGCTCTGACATTCAGGTGCCTTGCCAAAAATTATCCCAAGCCATCCATCTCCATACTTCTGCTTCAATGCTTGGCAGAAGTGGGAATGAAGCAAGCCCATGCCTCCACTGTCCTTGTGCTTCGGTGGTTCCAAAAGATGACATCATCTAGTACCGCGTTCCCCTTTTCTAATAATGGAAATCAGACTTGGAAAACCAAACTCACTCATACTCAGCTACTTATTCAAACCTCTCTCTCCCATCTATGAACTTACACATGCAATTCTTGAACCTTGACAATTATCTTACTTTCAGAAAGTGTATTGTAGTGGACTGGTAGAAGAGGTGAAATCGATAATAAAAGCCCCCCAAAATAAGTCCGCAATGCCTTTTGTTCTCATCTGCAACCTCTTTGCCTGAACAGCATCCTTCATGCAAACCTCATGCTTGCACACAGGTGTTCTAGATGTTCAGACCTGTTGGGGTTGTTTCTTTCAAAATTATTTGTTTTTTTAACTATTGTTTCTCATCTTGCGAGAGAATGTACTTAAAATCCAATGGTCTTTACCCTTTTGGGGAATTAAAAAGACAGAGACAGTGCAGGTTGGGTAACTTCATCTATGAAATTAATTCCACAGAAGGCCACTAGCTGAGGTGTTCTAATACCTATGCGAGCAAACCAAAATCTAAGCCTGTACATGCCTTAAGGTTATAAGATAGAAACCTAAGGACCCCCAAACAGCCAACTAGGCTTTCCCAGATAAGGCAACTGTGTAAGCCACAGCCCATCAAATAATTTCCTTGATTTGCTTCCAGAATTTTCTCTATAAAAGGCTTGCCCCTAGCTTCTGTGGGTGCAGAGCTCCTAAACACTTCTGGTTTGGCACTGCTCATTGTAATCATTTTACTGAAATAAACTCTCAAAAATTTTAATATACTTCCATTTATCTTTTAACAGCAACCCCCCCCAAAAAAATAGATGGGTGGGAGGGAAGACCCTGGGACAATATTCCATGCCCAGTGACAGCATTCTTTGAAACAGAATGGAAATTGGTGTCAGCATCCTGCAGAGTGAAAAGCATCCTATTCCACCAGCAGTGTGTAAATAGCCATTCATTCATTTAAGAAATGTTTACTGCATCCTTACTCTGTCTGACACTAGACAAAGGTGATAGACCAGATCTGGCTGCTCCTCTGTAATAATCAGCAAGATGTATCAGTCTCATGCTTCCTAGAAAAAGTCCTAGGTTCCTGGGGCCTTGACAAACATTGTTTTTGTCTACAGTAAACATTTGTTACTCTTTTTTGGCAACTCAACCTCTGAACTGTTCTTCAGTATCGGAAGCTATGCCCCTCTTGATATATCTTGGTGGGAAGCAAATGCTACTTCCCGGTGCCAGCGGTACAGTTTTCTGGCTTCCCTTGGAGCTTGAATGAGGACAGCCACAAGGCTCTGCCGATCACGGCACCATGCTGGGTTGACTCAGGAGCAGGAGTGTCAGCTGGGCACCCATCCTAGTCCTTGTGGGGGCAGTGGCAGTGTGAACTCCAGGGCAGTCACACTGTCAATGTGGTACAAGAAGTAGAATCTTCTCAGGACCAGATCTGCTGTGATTTGGGAGGTTTACCCTGGCCACATGGCCTCTAGTCCTAGCTCACTGGGGCTCCTGGAAATTCAGAGAGTGACTCAATATTTTAAAGTATTTCTTCCTGCTTAAATTAGCCAGGCTTGATTTCTGCAGCTTGTATTATGCTCCCTGACAGCTGGATTCCCTCATAACTGACTCTACAGCACTGCAAATATATCTGAGTGCCCAAGTACTAGAAATCTGAAATGTCTAAGAAGCTGGCCCTCCATGATGGAAAACTCTGGCCTCTGCCTTTTTGTGCTCCCACAATTGGTTGACCATAACACAATCATCACTGTTCAAGTCATAGAATTTTAAATTAATCAATCTGCATTTTGGAATCCCTGTTGATCCATAATCCTGTTTCTAGGAGTCTATCCTGAATGCATCAGCAATTGTTTCACTTTAAAGATTTTCATTACAATATTATTGATAAAAACAAGAAAGCAGAAACAACCCTAATGTGCATCATTGAAATACAGCAGAGCTACTAAAAATAATGTTTTCAAAGAACAGTGAAGGTCATGAGGAGGATACAAAACTATATTAAATAGGATACCAATACTTTGTAAAACTCTCACTTTCTATGGATGATACATATCCTTAAAGGTGACGGATAAAAATACTAATAGCCATTATCTTTACACTGTGAGATTGCAGTACTTTTTAATTTCTTTTAAAGCTAGAAAACAACTAGGTACTATTGATTTTGCAGATTCACTTTATTTTGTTTACTTTGTGCAATTTACAAATTTTCTGCAATGAGTATGCATTAGCTTTGCCCTAAGGAAAACTATTAAAAGCATAAAATATATATATACTAAAATCTCTAATATGTTTGGAATTCTGATTTCTCACTAATTCAGACTACTGCCCCACCAGTATTGTAAGTTAGTGAGGTTCTGCCACTTTGCAACAGCATAGCAAGACACAGATACTAGCAAAATACGAAGCTTCACTATATTCTCTCAACAACAGGAACATACTGTGAACATCCCTCATGCTCTCCTCCAGATACAACAAGACCAAATTCTGGCCTGTGAGAAGTTTGCAGAATAAATTATGGATTTTTAAATATGTATTTTAAAAAAGAGAATGACAAGATAAGATAACGCGAAGTGACAGATGAGTGGTATATACTTAAAATTCTACAGGAATTCAAGAGAAGGTGATTCACTCCAGTTGGAGTTTTCCTGAAGGGGGTGGAACTTTGACTCTAAGGCACTGAGTCACACTTTTTGGCCTCAGAACTTCTTTATACTCTTGAGAATTATTGAAGACATCAAGGAGCTTTTATTTGTGTGGGTTATATATAAGATAATTTACCCATTTAGGAACTAAAGTGGAAACTTTAAAATATTTATCAATTCATTTCGAAAGAGCAGTATTAAACCCAATTACAGACTAACATAAATAACATTTTTTTAGGAAAAAAAACCTGTCTTTTCTAAAACAAAAGAACTAGTGAGAAGAATGGTATTGTTTTACATTTTGCAATTCTCTTTAATGATTACTTTACTAAAAGACAGCTGGATTTTCATATCTGCTTCTGTACTCAATCTGCTTCTGGATTCAGTGTTGCTTGGATTGAAGTATATGAAAAAAATCCAGCCTCATACAAATATGTAGCTGGAAAAAAGACGAATATAACCTTTTTCAGATAATTATGGGTATTTTCTTTGATAAGACACTAAATCTCAACAAGTAGTAATTTGTTAAAGGTTAATTGCTATATGGAATCTGAAACCACATCAATGAACATTTGTCCTCTGTGATATTAAAACCCATCATTCTACATGTACTTTGAGTGGATCTTTGACCTACGCATGACTGGAAGATCATGTGCTGGTCATTGGGAAAATTTTGATCTTCCAAATGTTGAGACATTTTATTATGCAATATCAAAAAATCACATTTGTTAAAATTACAGATCTCATCAAAAAAAGCCTTCAATAATTGAGAATCTGTCAAGCTTACAGTACTGGATACAATTCCCCAAAATTCTCATTTTTGCTGGGAAGCCCACATTTCATCACTGGCAACAAATATTGTCAGTTGTTTTCTTTGAAGTGACAGATTCAATTCATCATTGAGAAAATATTAGCTGACTATCCAAATCAGAATAACTAGGATTTGTCCACTGGTTATTCTTCCAAATAAAAATGCTGTTCCATGAAAAAGTGGCAGTTCAGCTCACAGTTCAATTGCACGAATGCTTTTCCTCCAGACAAACACTGAGTATCGATGTGCAGCAGAATGTGCTTTGTTCATGTTTCCCATTTCATCACACAGAATAGTAAAAAGATATGTGCTCACAGCTCAAGATGTAATAAAATTAATTATTTTTGTTTCATTAGAAACATTCTCTTATGAAACTGGTATTTTATTTCTTCAGGTGGGTGGTGCTGATAAATACAGCTACTGATACTCTTTTACTTTACTTAAACCAGTGCCTTTGTACCATCTGTGCAAATGTTAATACAGTGAAGAAATACTTAGCATTATTATGAAAATAATTTTGACCTCAGGACATCTCTGAGTTTTAGCGACCCCCCCGGGGCCTATAGACATAGTTTGAGAATTGCTCTAAACCTTCTTGGAAGGGTAGACTTTGGCAAGTCACCATGAGGGGAATGACCATGAACCTTGGACAGTGAAAGAGGGGAGGAGAACAAAAGCAAAGGCTAAAGAGGTAAGTAGTTGCTGAACTATGGTTAAACCTAAATACCAGGCAGCAGAGCATGGCGATTATGCCATGCCAAGGCAACTGGAAAATGTAATACTACAGCTACCATTCATTTAGGACAGGCTGTGTGCCTGGCATTTTGCACACATTATTTAACTTACAATTCATGTTAATCTTGAGGCAATTATTATCATCTTCATTTGGTGGGAAAGGAAGCTGAGGCTCAGAGAAGTTAAGAAACATGCCCTAATTCACACAGCTAGCAAAAGTAAAGAAGCCCAGGAAGATGAGACTGCAAGGCTTGGAGGACTTCTACATTTCACACTTCCTTCCAGGCCACCTTTGTCAACTCTGCCGGGTAGGGTCCTGGAATGTGTATGGCCCTAAAACATGTAGTCTGCCATGAAATGCTCTGGCTGTAAATCTCATGTATTTACTCTGGGAACCCTAAGGGCAAGAGTCAAGTCTATTTATATACCCAGGCGCTTGTGGTCACTTCATAAATCTTTAACCATAGAGGCAGTGATTTTTACGGACGCCAACTCCACCCCAGTCTCTTTCAGCTTGCCTTGAGTTTAAATTACACACACCAGAGTAAGAAAATTTTTTTTCCAGGAGAAACTTGGAGGCCCATATTTCCTGAACCTGACTATGGCCTTCAGTGCCACACCAGCAGCCTCTGCAAAATTATTACCCCAGATTTGTAAGGTAAGCACAGCTTGTCTTCCTCACCTTCCATCTTGCAGGGGCTGGATATTATTCTGGAAGGAGAATGGGCTTTGGAGCAGTCTGACCTGGATTCAAATCCCAGTTCCACCACTGACAAACTATAACTGTGGGCAACTACCATACCCCTTTCAACCTGTTTCCCTGTTGAAAATGTGACTATAATAGTGCCTTCTGCAGAAAGTTGTTGAGATGGTAAAATGAAATAGTGTAGGGAAATCATCACTCCTGGTGCCTTCTCCTTCCCCCACCACTGCAGTCTGCTCCCACAGGGCCCTTCTGCAGCCCGCTAGGGTCCCAGGGCTTTCCCTGACTCTGGCAAGCCTGGCCAGGACTCATCAGCTCTCACCCATCAACAAAATGCCCCCTCGATTAAATATTGTCTGTTTATTCTTGTACCTTGAGTAAGTGTCCTCAGCTTGCTATTGCTTTAGAAATTATCTGGTAAACTAATAAAAACAGCAAATGTCAATCTTTGTGTTTTGCTCCAAGGCACATTCTAAAAGGTGTTCCTAATTGCAAAGAGTAATAATGCATTTGCTGGTTAAATAATGTTGAGAAACACTGAAGACTAAAACCCCCTCCTTGGATGGTGCAATTTGGCCTATTAATTGTTCTGTGGAATCCCAGAGAAAAAGAAACCTGTAACTTCATGAAACAGCTAAACAGATTCATGCAGTGCTGCTGACATTTTCCCTGATAATCATCCACCCCACTCTCATGAAAAGCTTTCCCTTAATATTATTTTAAGAAACAATATCTTATTCCCAAAGCTATGATTCCGTACTAATGGCCTCTCACGCATTGGGCAGTCTCCCCGTAGATTGAGACGTACTGGACGTACTGGACCCTATCTCGGAAAATCTGTGTTAGATCTCAGAACAAAGCCCTTTAGGCTGGCGCAGGCTGGGACTAAGGTTGATTTGAGAAGAATTGTAATCCAGTACCTAAATCTCTCTAGTACTTTTTAGCTCACCAAGCATTTACAGATATATCACCTCATTCAAACATGTTATCTCAGTTGATCCTACAAAGGCCTTATGAAGCATGTGATGATCTCTCATTGTAAGTTATGAAGTTAAGGCTCAGAGAGCTGGAAGGACTCTTCCGGTCCCTCAGCAGGGAAATCTCAGAGCTGAGACCAAGTGCAGACTCTGGGGGACTCTGGGGCTAGTCTGCAGCTGAGAGACCAGAACTAGAAAAAATGGGGACAAGGAGGAGTAGTGAGGAGCAGCAGGGAGAGCGCACAAACGCAAGCTGTTATGTGGTCCTCCACTCCACTTACGCGCATGCGTCCACATGTTTGTCTCCCTCAGCAGCTGGATTCTTACCGCCAACCCTGCTCTTCCCTCAAGGGACTCATAGACCAAGAAAGCAAAAACCGGGACCCAAGTACAGCCAAAGATGAGGCCCGGAGGCAGCTTCTAGAGCACTGGGGGGAGAGGGCGCCACCTTCCACACCCTCCCAACAGCCAGCCCAGCTGTGGAAGCACCTGCCATGCACTCAGCTCCAAACCATCCCTCTTCCTGTTCCCCCTTTGCAACATTTCTCAGTCTCCTGCTAGCGTTGGCCAGTGGATGCAGGGGCCAGGGGACTGGCAGCTGGGACAGAGCCAATCCAATGCTTATGCCCAGTGCTTTGTCCAAGTGTCAGGTCGCCAAGAGAGGAGAAGAGAAAACACAGGAAGGAGAAGAAGGTGGATAAAAAGAAGCAGCAATGACCAGTGGGTTGGCCCATTTCCCATTTGGGCTTAAGAACATTTTCAGGATTTTGTGAAGTCCTCTTGCGAACAGCTCAGTGATCTCTTCTACGCCAAATGCTTTATGTGAATGAGTTGTAGGAAATCTAAAGTTGCCCTTCCCTCCTTAGCAGTCTCTAGAGAGCTGTCATCTTTTGGAATAAACTGTAATGAATGTAATGAAGACAGAATGCATTGCAAACATGGAAATTCTGACTTGTGGTATCTCTGAAAATAAAACAATATGGGTTACAGGCGCTGCTGAGCTTGGGCACTCGCCCAGAAACTTCCCATTCCTGGGAGAAGAGATTTACCAATAAACTCCATCTTCCTATTTTTTGTGTTAACAACAGCATACTTTTCTATTCTGGTTCCTTTCACAAGAACCTTTTGGGTTTCTTCCAAAGAAGTCACAGTGGGGCAGTTAGAAAAGATTTTGGAAAGCCGTTAGCACAACAAAAGCTCAGATTTTTAAGAAGCAGGGAGTGACTATTTCTTTGGGATAAGAAAGCAGTTTACATATCACATGGTAGTTAATAAAGTGGTATTCTTACTAGAGAAATACATTAATCGAAAAATATCTGAAGTTAGGAATGCCGAAAAATTATTAGTTAGTTATTTCCCCCTTCCCCACTACAAGTTAAAAAAAAAAAAGAATTCCCTGTGCCAAATTTCTGTTCCCTTTCCAAATTCTAATATACTTATTCCACACATGGGAGGAGTTTGCTTTGAAATCAAATAAATGTATCTTTTTAAATTTGCTAGCTTAATGGGTTGGGCTAAATGATATAAGACAGATGAGCTAAAGATTTTGTATTCTTTATTTTGTGTTTTCTTTTTTATCCTCAATTAATTTTTATAAGGAATTCTATTAATTTTCTAGAGGTGCCATAAAGTACCACAGATTTTTTGGCTTAAACAACAGAAATTTATTATCTCACAGTTCTGGAAGCTAGAAGTCCAAGATCAAGGTATCCTCAGGGTTGGTTTCTTCTGAGACCTCTCTGGCTTGTAGAGACATCTTCACCCTGTGTCTTCACATGGTCTTCCCTGTATGTATCTATGTCCTCATTTTCTCTTCTTAGAAGGGTATCAGTCATACTGGATTAGAGCCCATTTTAATGACCATATTTTAACTTAATTACCTCTTTACAGACTCTCCAAATACAGTCATATTCTGAGGTATTCAGGGTTAGAACTTCAATATGTGAATTCGGGGGAACACAGTTCAGCTTATAATAGGAATCACTGGTCTTAGGAGGTCTTGTAGGTGACAGCATGATGGAATGAGAAACTAAATGAGGAATGCAAGAAGCAACTAGATAAGGAATCATAAGAACTGCTTGCAGCCCCAGCGTGGTTATTCACTGGTTATAGGACCTGGGGAAACCATCTTCCCCTCTCTGGCTATCTGGTCTTTCAAAGTCAAATGAAGAGAGAGAAAATACACCAGATGATTCCTGAGGTACAAGGCAAATGCATCAACTAAGCACAGTTGGGTATTAATCCTAGGCGCAGAAGCCACACTGCGCCGATTTCCTGATGGCCTAAGGGAAAGGTGTGTATCCAATCAAAGGGAAAATGGGAAGCCGGTTCCCTGTTTCTTCCAAATGAACATCAGAGGAAAGTCAATGCTTTGCTTCACATAAATGCCCCAATCCTAGCCAACAACGTCTGCTACAAAGAGTGCAAAATCTGATTTTGCACATGCTGGGGTATCTCAAGAATGACAAAGGGCATGGAACACCTATAATACTGTAAAAGTGAAAATGAACTTCAGTCATCTTTAAACTAAACGCAAGTAAGTATGGTGTGGAGAAAGCAAACTGTCATAGGGAAGAGCAAATTCAAGGGCATCCCTATGAAGGCTGAGTCCTATATTTATTTCCTTATATGGTTTGAAGCACTGCTTGAAAGGTTGAGATTGTGGGGTGAGTGAGTGCAGCTCCCAGAGACACTCACACTCTCCTAGGAAAAAAACTGAACACGGGCACCCTTCAGTGCCCACAGCGTGAACGCTGGGAATGCTTTAACCTGCCCAGAGATCTTTCACCCACCTTTCTCTGTTGACCTTCATATCAACCCTCCAAGGCAGGTTGTACAACGTACACCACTGTCCAAATCAGAAACAAAATCCAAGCCCTCTGTCCACTACAATCTCACTGCCCTGCAGAACATGATCCCAGCATACAAACATTGCATGCGGGTCAAGACCTCAATGGTCTGTGAAAAGAAAATACTTGAGTGCTTGCAGCCACCTTGGCTTTCCCGACTGCTGCTCCCAGCTGCCCAGAGCTCAGAGGCCCTAATCAGGCTGCCTTGCTGGCTGCGCTCCATGATTCAGACCTGCCCTGCCCTGCCCTACTTACCAATATTTATTGAATACATAGAACATGCCAGGCACCATGCTAGACATTGTGGATAGAAACAAGATGGATCCTTATAAAACGGTTTCAAGAGCTCATGGTGGTGGCAGAGACAAAATGACACGTCACATCTTTATTCACCCTGTGAATGCCCCTGGGCTGGGTCCTGAGAGCTATGGAAGCACAGAGAAGACTAATGGGTGCAGAGGGGTCAGAGGTTGGGGGTGGGGCAGGGGATGGAAGTATCCAGCAGGAGGTAGTACTTTGACTGAGACTTGAAGGTCCACTGAGGCAGGCTAACAAGGGGGACAGGTGATCCAGGTCACAGTTAGGAAATGTCAGGTCATTTGGAATGGCTAAGGATTGGTCTACATGCAGGAGTCTGGGAGAAGATAAGCCACAGCTCAAGGCAGAGTCCCAAGTTCTCCATTAAGGAACTGAAACTTCACTATGAAGCCTGTGCAGTTGAATCAGACTGCCCCCATCTGCTCAACTGGCAGCATGGCTTTAGATGAACTGATTAATCTCACCATGTATCAGTTTCCTCACTGTGAAATGAGCATGATGATCTAACTACTCAGAGGGTAGCTGTGTAGATTGAATGCGATCACTGATGTAAAATGGATGGCACACGGGGTCTTAAGAAATGCATTCATTAACATTTTTGTTGTTATTATTGTAAAGGAGTGATATGGCAAGCTTTGTGTTTTGCAAAATCTATTGTTTATTCTCCATTTATCCCACCAGACACATTACCTTTCTTCTCTGACATCTTTGTCCTGTGAGACTAACCCCCAAAGACTGCACCCCCAGGCTCCCTTGCCTGCTGGCTTCTTGCCAGTTGAGCCAAGGGCAGGTACAAGCAGGAGTTTGCAGAGTGAACGAGGAGGGGGTTTGGGGTGTTTCTTCCTGCAGCTCTCCTTCATTCAGGGCAGCTGCTCTGGTCATATCTGTGACTCTCCATGTCTTGGATAGGCTCCCCAACAAGCAGAGCCTGAGGCAAGGAGTTGGGTGCCAGCAATTATTTGGAAGGTGATTTCCCAACTGAAGGAACGGGGGCGGGTCAGGCAGGGAGGGAGAAAAACAAACTGAGAGTGTGACTGAGATCTTGCTGTGAGTCTCTGCAATGTGCCTGTGTGGGGACTTCTGGGAAGTTCACAGAACACCCCTGGGAATTTCTGTCACAGGGCGGAGGTGTGCCCCACCCAGTTGGCTGGGCTCCCCAGGGCACTGGCTCCCCCATGCTTTCCTGCTGCACTTTCATGCAAGCCAAGCAGGTGCAGCTTCAGAGAAGGCCCTTAGAAATAAATCAGAGGGACACCTGCCTCTCTTCTGGTGCAAAGCTGTCAGGGCGAGCCTGCAGCTGCAGCTGAAATCCCAGGGAGGCTGAGCGGATGTGACAGGGACACAAATGTGGTCACTATACATGCCAAACACCATTTCTGCTGGGCTGCTCTCTCATCTACTGCTTCAGGGCCTCCCTTCTTTGATTTCTTTCCCTTTAAGAGGTATCCTCCCATGCTAATCTCTGTGCCCACAACCGCTGTCCCTGCCCTGGGCCCTGACTCCACTCATGCAAATACTTCCTTCATTAAAGTCCTTCCACTGGGCCAAATGAGTGGGATTCTGTTTCCTGCTGGGACACACAGATACAGATGAGCTATTCTGATTGCAAAATGAAGGTTGTCAGGGCATGAGAGGGCAATCAGAACTTGGTTAGGTTGTTTGTTCAGTCATCTCTGCTGGAGATGATGAAGATGTGAAATCCAGCTAAGGCAGAGCATGCAGGAGTGGGTAGAGCGGCACGGGAGTGCGCCTTCCCGTGGGCTCTGCAGGAGGCTCGGCTGACCTGAGGAGCAAGCTGTGCTGACCGGGCCTTTGCAAGGAGCCTCGTCCTGGCATATAGGCACCGTGACATGGACTGCGCGGAAGCTTTGGGGCAGAGCCTACCTCTAATTATGGACTTTTGGAAATGATGAAAGCAGGAACAGGAAAGCCTTGGGTGCAGGGACAGAATCACAGTGACCTTTGTGTCCTTTCTCTCAAATCCTGACTGTCAGCCTCCTGCCCTCTGTACCTGTGGGCAGACAGTAGATGTTTGCTGAATAAATCCGTTCCTAGTGTTGTCATTGTTCTCATATTTGTCAATAATTGTCTTATAACAAGGTTACTGTTATGGACTGAATGTGTTCCCCCCAAACTCATATGTTGAAGCCTTAACCCCCAATGTGACAACATTTGGAAGGGGGAGCCTTTGGGAGATGATTAGGTTTAGAGGAGGTCATGAGGTTGGGACCCCTGTGATGGGATTAGTGCCTTTTAAAGGAAGAGGAAGACTGACCACTACTTGCTCTCTCTCTCTGCCATGTGAGACAGTGCAAGCCTCAAAGGGGCCCAGGGGCAAAATCTGCTGGTTAATCTGGGACTTCTAGCATCCAGAACTATGAGAAAGAAATTCTATTATAAGCTACCTAGCCTATGGTATTTTGTTATACAAGCCCTGAGCTACTAATACAGTATCAGGGCAGAAATATGCACCACTTCGTTGTATCTAAATGACTTATATTCTTTATCCTTTATGTAAATCCAATAGGAGAACCTTCAAAGGGAGCTTGCTCCAGCCGACACCTGGGTTTCAAACTTCTCACATCCACAACTATCAGAAGATTAGTTTCCGTTGTTTTAAGCCATCAAATTTGTGATCCTTTGTCACAGCAGCCATGGGACACTAATACACTGAGGTAAGAGAGGGTGTTCTAAAGTAAGTGACATTTCAAGGTTAGCTACTACACTGGGTTTCACTTTTGGTTATCTCAAATTTTCTGGAAAAGCCATGAGTCCTGCCCTCCTCCAGGGGTGGGGAACACACTATTCAAGTCTTCCAAGGAGACTAAGAAAGAATTAAGTGCCTTTTTCTTGTTCCCTTTAAAATTGTGCTCCTTAAACAGTTTCACTTAGTCCAAGGAACACATAGGGGTGTCTAGTGCCTTCCTCCCCATCCCCTTGGCTGACTCTCTGCGGGCAGTTCTGCCAACCCAGCAATGACACCTAGCATTCCAACAGGTCACTTAGGAGTGGACCCAACCCCCAGTGTGGAGCAGTGGCTCTGAGCTTAGGTTTGGGGCCCACGTGCCAACCCTGCTCCACCCCCACTAGCTTCACCAGCTTCTCTGCACCTCACTTTACTCCTCTGTAAAATGAAAATACTAACAGGCCTCACCTCATGGTGCTGCATGGTGGCACACAATGGGCACCACCAAAGTGGGTTTGTGTAGCTTGTAAGGGCCACTGGTCCTAATCTCTGTTCTAGTCCCTGAGGCCCAGAGAAATGAATGCTGACCAGCCCAGCCTCTCTCCCCACGAAGAAGTCCAGGCTCGATGGCAGATCCTCCACTGCCTCTTAGTTCCAGGAGCTCATCCTGCAAAGAGAGTTGGGGGAATTTTGTGCTAATCTCCTCACTCTACTTAAGGAAAACAAAATCTGTTGCCTTACAACTAATAACAGCCACCCTGGGTGGGAGGGACGGGGCATGGGAGCAAAAAGTCTGCTAACAGTTTGAAATCAGTTTTCCAGTAGTGTTAGGTGCTGGGCAGATACACAGAACCATGAGGGGACACATGGGGAGGGGGCGCCAATCCAGAGGTACAGGACTGTGTGCAGTTCTGTGCTGAATTGTGTCCGGCGTGGAGTCGGCTGGGAGAGAGGTTCCATGAAACCTGAAGTGGCCCAGAAAGCACATCCTGGCTGTGACCCATCCCCCCTGGTAAGGAAACCAAGGACATCCCGGTTTGGGTCTCCTCTTTCCCAGAGGATGTTGATGCTGGCTGTGTTGGGTGATCAGGTCTGACGCACATCTTTTGGCTGGGAATCACATTTTCAAAATCCATGACTCAAACTTGACCTGCTTTGATAGCACTTGGACATTTCCTCTGACAGTGCACACCTCTCACAGGCACTGCCGCTGGTCTGGTGCTCCTTTGGGGTCCTAGGGTGGGCAGCTTGGGTGAAGCATTCCCATTCACCTTCTTGGCGGGGAGCTGCTTGATCCCTGGCAGAGCTGTTCAGAGCCCAGGGGAAAGAATAGCCCAGCCAGAGGCCCCTTGCATCTCTTCTTCCTTCCCCAGGTTGAAGCGCTCATTTAGCCCCAGGGACCTCACCACATGCTCTAAGTGTTCCCCCCAGAGGAAATGGAAGTGTTCTGCATGCAGCATTCAGCTGGAGGACGGGAGTGGTTCTCTCTGGCAACACTATCGTGTGCCACCCTGCTGCCTCTCTCACGACCTGTGTCCTCATTCTCCCCCTGCAGGGACTGCTGGCTGCTGACAGCTCAGACCCAAGCCCTCTCTGGGTATTGCCTTCTGCCAAAGGATGCGGTCTCTCCTCTGGGGACAGCCATCCAAAGACTGGTCACTGTGGGATACACAGTGCCACCCCTAGCCTCGTTGGGACAGCTCTGCAGGACCACCCAGGTCTTGAGCTCCTGGTGGAACCAGTGGAGGCCTCTGCCGCAATGGCATCACAGCTCAGCCTCTCCCTTTGCCCAACCCAACTCCCTCCCTGCTCAAAAGGAGCTGTTCCCAAAGCATTTACCAGTAATCCTCCGTGCAAACCTCAGAGCCTCAGGGCCTATTTCTTGCAGGCTCTGAACTGCATCAGTGTGCCTCCCTGGAGCCTCTCTAATCCCCTCGGCAGCTAGACTGGACTCAAATGAGGATTGAAGCTGTGTCCTGATGGGCACCAGAAGGATCTTCTTCTACTTCTGGGTCCACAAGACCTTGGCAGGGCTGATTCAGGGACTGAGACCACCCGTGCAGTGTACAGGCCTGAGCTCCTTCTGACTGACCAATGTCAATGGTGTCATGTTTTGACATCACCCCTGTTTCTTAACACTTGAGCATTGTTCTTCATAATGACCTGAAGTCTTTTGGGGGCAGCTTCCTGAGTTCCTATCACAAGATTACAGAGCTGAGGAGTCTGGGTGTCTCTGGTATCTGAGACAAAGTGCCAAGCCCTGCAACATCTACAAGTCCCTCAGGTGCTCCAAGAGCCAGCCCTGAATCCTCAAGGTCTACAGCGCCATGCTAGCTCTGCCCCTCTCCCACTTCGCAGCCCCGTCTCAACTTCTAACTGGCTGTCAGAGCCTGGACATGTCACCTCTCCTTACTGAGTCTTATTGCCTCACTTATAAAATAGTGCTAATGAAGAGAACTCCACTGCTAAGCACTTTTCAGAATCATTCAGTTCACGCCTACTGAGTGCAGAAGCACAACATGACAGCCAGCTTCTGCTTGACCCCTCCCTGGGACCCCACCATTTCACATGGCCTCCTGGTGTATTTCTGGATGCTCTAGTTCTTAGAAAGTTCTTCCTTATAACAAACTGGAATTTGCCTCCCTCCCTGTACATTCCACCACTGACCTGGTTCTGCCTTAGGGGCTATAGAAAATACATATAAGCCTTGCTCTGTGAGAAAAACCTTCAGATATCACACCCTTCCCTCACCAGGTTTCTCTTATCAGGCAAACCTTTCCTAGTCTCCTTTCCATATAAATTCCAGATTCTCCATCATCCTGGTTGTTCTCTTCCAGGAAACTTCAGCTTCCTCTTCATACGTAGGGCCTAGAATGAAACCAGACATTCAAGATGCTGTCTGAATAATTCCATTCACGTATTCTAAATAATATTCAACTTATGGCACTTGATTTCCATCTATCTTTTCAGGAAGATGTCTGCTGTATTAGATATATCATGCCACCCCAAACTTAGCTTTTTTCTGAGACTCACAAGGTTTGACTTGGTTAGCATACATCTGGCTGCAGTGACAGAATACCCAATGGCTCAAGAGATAGTGACATTTCATTTTTTCACAAAATGAGATGTCTAAAATCAGAAACTGCAGATTCAGGGGCTCAACAATGTTCATCCAGATGCTGCTCTGGTCTGTGTGCTGGTGAGACAGCTGTTGCACTTCTAAGTGGCATTTTCTTGCATAATTATATTAAAGGCAACGAAAAGAGGCAGGCCTCCTTACCCTCCCTCTCTTTGCCAGGGAGCAAAATCCTTCTCAGAAATTATCCCCAGCTGACTTCCCCACATGTCTTGTTGGCCATAACTAGTCAGAGTTATGACACTAAGCCAATCACTGGGAAAGGGAATTAGGATTACGTACCTGGGTTAGACCAACCAGGGTGCCTCCTCCTCCTACCACCTACTGTGAGGTGTGGGCCTTTCTTCCTTGAACATGCTGTGTAAACAAGAAGGGTGCATGGCTGCGGGTAGACACTCGGTGGTGTCCACCATAGCACCTTAGGGTACAAAGTCACTTTAAAGTTAATGTCACCTAACACCTTTCCAACGATCAATGTTTCAGTGCTCTACTTAAATAAATGGGGACACTATTTTCCAGGAAATTATTAGAAAGTTTATTCTTTAAATTATTCTTTGTAATTTAATTCTCAAGTTTTCTCTGTGTTGCTTAGGTCATCCAGAACAAATGGACTTTCTCTTCCAAAATGTGGCCATTCCAAGAACTGAAAAACTTTTTTTCTCCCAAATTAAAGATCCTCAATCCTTTCTACAGTCTTCCATCATGTGGTTTTGAAAACTTGCACAACTTTAGCCATTCTACAAAATGTCCTCCAATTTTTCTCCCTGGTGCCCACTAAATTCATGCTTCCAGTACAGTTTGGCCAATGTAGTATAGAATTCAACTATTGCTCCCCTTGTTTTAAGTTAATCTACTTTTAGATAGAAAAGTAATATATATTTACCATAGAAATATTTTGACAATTCTGGTGAGCTTTTAAGGATCACTGTAAGATACCCTCTCTCCAAAATCTCCCCAGTCTACCTTGAATCTACCCATATCCTCCATTTTATTCACAACTTCTCACCAATACTATTATTAGACAGATGCCTAAAGTCAATATAAGATCACATGTTTGCAGAAGCAGTATTAACTCCAGATTTGGGAGCATTCTGGAAGTAGTGGATTGTATACTCAATTAACTTGTTCTCCTTTTTGGCAATTTTGTTATTACTTTCACTGTTTTACATATTTTTCTATTAATTCAGCCCAAGATCAAATTGGCTTTTTAGGCACCACATTTTTTAAGGCTCCCTCATCATATTTTCTTGATTCAGTATGAGCTTAGTACTTATGTATGCTTCTTTCAACCAAGTCTCCTTCTCGTTGAATTTGCTCAGTTGGCTCTATGGGCCAAGTACAGAGCCTTTAATTTATGCCTATACTATTTCATTTTCTTGGATTTGACCCATTGGCCTAACAAAGTCTTTAGACACTGATTCTTTCTTCTAACAAATCCAGTATCTCTCTCTCAACAAAGTCTAGAAACTACTGTGAAGAATGTTCTGTAAATGTCACATGGTAATATGTGAGTCATGTCTGCTGCCAGGAATTTTAGACAATTTCACACTACATTTGCAGCTAAGCCCTTCAAATTCATAACAAAAGAGGACTGCTTTTCCTGTAATTCCCTCTCCATTTTGTATAAGTGTGCCTTGTGAAACTGGGAAGGAATTTAAAGAAAATGGTTCTTCTAGGAATTTGGAAAAAGTAGGTTGGCCATGAATCCAGGTGCCCTGGACACTGGCCCCATTTGCTGCCTGTTGTTAAGGTGCTGTTTCCAGTGCCTTCTCCTCGGCCCAGTTTTCAAGTCCCAGTGTCTTTCTCCAGCTCCTTCCCAAGGCTTTCATGTTCCTGCTCTCCTTGCCTCAAAAGACCCTGTAATAGGCTTAATAATGGCCCCTAAAAATATCAGGGCCCATGTTAACATATGTGGCAGAAAGAGGTCTTTGCTGATGTGATTAAGTTAAGGATGTTGAGGTGGGGACATTTTTCTGGAACATCACGGGCCTGAAATGCAGTCACAAGTATCCTTCTTAGAGGGAGATAGGGAGACTTTACTACATACAGATGGAAGAGGAGGAGGCCATGTGACCGTGGAGCCGAGACTGGAGTGATGCAGCCACAAGCCAAGGAATGTGGGCAGCCACCAGAAATCTTAAAAGTCAAGGAACAGATTCTCCTTAGAGTTTCTGTGGGAAGCATGACCTGCCAATACCTTTATTTCGGCCCAGTGAAACTGACTTCAGACTTCTGGCCTCCGGAACAGTAAAAGAGTAAATGTCTGTTGTTTAAGGCACTAAATTGGTGGTAATTTGTTAGAGCAGCCATGGGAAACTGGTACAGACCCTAAGGACCCCTCTAGTCCTGATCCTTTCCCCACTGCAGGTCTCTCAGAGCTCCTCCTACGTCCTCCACAGTATAGGTTGCTTTTTATTTACTTTTATTTTTATTGTCCCCATCTTTTCTTCACAAATATGTTCCATGCTCTTCAGATTGCTGGCCCATCACTTCACTGCCCCTTCACTGTCTTTCTGAGAAGAGTAGAGCCACCACCATAAGCTCCTCAGGTAGCTGCCTCTGCCTGTTGGTGGGTACCTGCGCTGCGCCGGGAAGAGAACCACCTGTGGCACAAGTCCAGGGGGAGCTGTTCCTGTGCCAGCCTGTGGGGGCAGTCCTCAGTGGCCTGCCTGCAAGACACCACACACACACACACACACACACACACACACACACACACACACACACACATCCTCTACTCTACCTGTTGGGGTTTTAGCTTACATATCTCACTTTGCTTCCTTGATCACTCTGGCTAGAATGTTCTTTTCCTTCTCTTTCCCTTTCTTCTTTCTGAAGCTGTGAAGCTCCTTGTTCATTCTCTTATTAAGGCCTTCCTATTATAGCTAGTCAAGGCTCCGTCTCTCAGTGTTATCAGCTCACGGGAGGACGCGGTTAAGTCCTATAAGCCTTTGTGACCCCAGCACACCTGTCCCACAGTTGGCCTTCGGTATGGGTGAGATGTAGATGTCAGCTGTCTGACTGTGGTTCTTAAAGTCCCCTAGTTGGCAGGCTTCTGTGCCCTTTAGGACTCATCCAGGATGGAAATAAACAATCAGTGGGAATAGATGGGGGTAGGTGAGTGTTAGGAAAGACTTATGGTTCCTGGTTCCTCTGAATTCCACTCCTTCTTCCATGTTTCTCTTCCTGCTTATCTCTTTTCTCTGCAACATTCCCATTGTGCCTCTGAGGACACTTCCTTCTTTCCCCCAAAGGACAATTAATCCAGGGTTGTGTACTCAGGAAACGTTTTCTGTAGACTGGATGCAACCAGAGTGGGTAGTTACATCATAGTCTCACACAGTGCAACTTAAAATTGAATAAATATCAGCCATCCCTCTTAAAAGACCCTTGGTCAAGCCCACCAACCAAGGACTTCTGCAGGATGGCCTCTCTGGGTGGAGTCTGGGCCTCTCCCATCTCGCATACTCCTCTTTTCCTGCCCCCTTGGCAATCTTTAAGTAAGAATTTTTTTCACAGCCATGCCAATAAATTGAGTAACTTCCAGTCTCTTCTTAAGCCTCCAGCACATAACTTTGCTCAGAGTCAGTCAAATGCTTTGCAGAATAGGCCATTTGATCCAAGACACCACCACTAAGCATCCGAGCAGACTTT